ACATTCTGTAAAATCTGTAAAACTTGTCGTTTCATTCAAATAAATAAATAATAAATGCATATAATCTAATTTTTACCACTATAACTTAACACTAGGAACAAATAACACAATGCAACAAATTGCAAGGTCATAATTTTTTTTGAAAATGTAGGTGTTCTTTATGTATTTCGACCTCCTGAATTTGAAAATGGTACTCAAAACATCGTATCACCCACAGTTTTTGCACAAATCACATATTTTGCAATAATGATAATATACATGAAAACACCACATGAAGCTCAAAAGCAGAACATTGTTTTCAATTGTTCAACACTTATGCTCCTAGTGGCACACAGCAAACTGTCACACTGCAAATGGCATTGCCTGTTTGTCACTGTGTTGTATTTGTGCAAGGAAGTATATGTTAGTGTTAGTGTACAATATCTACCTGAGGCTGTGTAAACTCCCTAACTGTTTTTGTTATATTTGTGGTGAACTTGTGGTGAAAAAAGACCAAAGAAACATTACTGCCTTCGTGAAAATGGTTACCATGCCTATTTCGGAATGAAACTAGGCGACATCAATAAAGCATGGGCTCCACAGGTTGTGTGTGTTGTATGTATAGAAGTGGGTGCTGTAAGTGAGGAACAGGGTGAAAGATTCCATCAGGATATCAAGGACATGGAACAACGATACCAGGGAACTTGGGATGTTCGGATGATGGGCAACTACTGCTGGATGCTTCACTGTGAGCACATAATGGAAATTCCCCATAAGAGGAAAAGCAGGGGCCATGCCATGACAACTAAGAAAGCATGCAATGAATGATATTAGTGCATGTTTTGTACTACATTCTCTGTATGCATCTGTTCACTGTGTATATATTTCAATATGTTGTTGTTTTAAACTTGTATTCTACTTCTGCATGATTCGTGTGCCATATATATGTACTACTTCTATATGTGATATCATTATTGGCAAAATATGCGATTTGTGCAAAAACTGTGGGTGATACGATGTTTTGAGTATCATTTTCGAATTTAGGAGGTCAAAATACATAAAGAACGCCTACATTTTCGAGAAAAGTTTTTTCACTGTTGTATTGTGTAAGTTATTGTTCTTCATTGAGAACACTTGATAATATCATCAATTCAATGTACTAACAAATAATATAACCTCTTTCCACTATTTGAGGAGTATGCCACACTTTAGTCAAAAGCCTTAAATTATTTTCTATTGAGGTTAATTCAAAAATGTTTTTTCAACTAACATTTTTAATCTAGAGTTGGCGATCTTAGGTCTTGATTTTATATTTGTTGACAGAATGCTTAAATCGAACAATAATGTTTTTTGAAAAATTAAACAAAAGAGATTTTCAAGATATAAAGAATAAAAATAAATATAAAATTATAAAATATACAATTAACCGAGAACTTTTTGTTATATTGTCCCTATGTCATGTTGTTAAGCCATATTTGGTCACATAGTCGTAAAGAATTGCCATGTGTTGGAGTCAGTGTGTGTTGATCTTTTGATGATGGTAGCCTTCTGGAGGAAGACATGCACTTCATTATCCATTGCATACATGGCTAGAGCAGTGTTTAGTTTCTTTTTGTCAATATCATGTGTGTGCTCAGCTAGTCTTATTTTGAGTGACCTTGTGGTGGAACTGATGTATTCAAGTTTGTAGCCAAATCTGTCATCTTAAAGTACCCTAAGATTATTAGTCTTATCTTTTCCATTCCTAAGGATGTTAAAGATGGTAAGATTGCACCTAAATGTTAATTTTGTTTACTTTTAGGTTTGCTATTTCTTTATACAATGGTAGTATATCGTGGTTATACTCTAGAATGATATGGCTTGTATTTCTATGTTGATTATACAGTAATACCTTGACTTACACTACATCGACTTACGTGAACCCGCAGTTACGTGATTTTCAAATCTCGTCGATTTGTCTTTTGTTTGAGGGCCACGCAACTCTTGATTACTCACTCTCCCCACACTATTGTTCAGCTTACATGTTCAGGCATGTTGCGTGAAATCAACACATAGCTACAATTTATTTCTGTTTGTTATANTGCCATATATATGTACTACTTCTATATGTGATATCATTATTGGCAAAATATGCGATTTGTGCAAAAACTGTGGGTGATACGATGTTTTGAGTATCATTTTCGAATTTAGGAGGTCAAAATACATAAAGAACGCCTACATTTTCGAGAAAAGTTTTTTCACTGTTGTATTGTGTAAGTTATTGTTCTTCATTGAGAACACTTGATAATATCATCAATTCAATGTACTAACAAATAATATAACCTCTTTCCACTATTTGAGGAGTATGCCACACTTTAGTCAAAAGCCTTAAATTATTTTCTATTGAGGTTAATTCAAAAATGTTTTTTCAACTAACATTTTTAATCTAGAGTTGGCGATCTTAGGTCTTGATTTTATATTTGTTGACAGAATGCTTAAATCGAACAATAATGTTTTTTGAAAAATTAAACAAAAGAGATTTTCAAGATATAAAGAATAAAAATAAATATAAAATTATAAAATATACAATTAACCGAGAACTTTTTGTTATATTGTCCCTATGTCATGTTGTTAAGCCATATTTGGTCACATAGTCGTAAAGAATTGCCATGTGTTGGAGTCAGTGTGTGTTGATCTTTTGATGATGGTAGCCTTCTGGAGGAAGACATGCACTTCATTATCCATTGCATACATGGCTAGAGCAGTGTTTAGTTTCTTTTTGTCGATATCATATGTGTGCTCAGCTAGTCTTATTTTGAGTGATTTTGTGGTGGAACTGATATATTCAAGTTTGTAGCCAAATCTGTAATCTTAAAGGATCTTTATATACACCCCCAGTATCCTAAGATTATTAGTCTTATTTTTTCCATTCCTAAGGATGTTAAAGATGGTAAGATTGTACCTAAATTTTAATTTTGTTTCTTTTAGGTTTGCTATTTCTTTATACAGTGGTAGAATATTGTGGTTATACTGTAGAATGATATGGCTTGTATTTCTATGTTGATTATATCTGCTTTTATCTTTAGGGTCCAAGTTGTGTGTTGTTGGGAATGGTACTTCTGATATGTCCTTAAGGGGTTAAAGAACATTTTAAATTATGTTTGGTCAAATTTCTGATTAGGTTTTTAAGGTAACCATGTGTTGTGGCTATTTGTTCAACATGTTCAAGTTCCTTGATTGTGTCAGAATAGTTTATATCAGGAGTGTCAAACTGTAATAATATAGTCTAAATTATTTTAAAAATTATTATTGAAAAAATAATTATTTGTTTGCTTATAATAATTTGAAGATTTGAAGTTGTTTTATAATTACAGATATTTATGCTAGAGAACATGGATCTAATAAACAAATGGCTTCCAAATCTTGTGCTCTGTCTTTAGTAAGACAGCTGTATCATTTGCAAGTGATTGAAGCATACTCTGGTGTTGCTAAAAAAAAGGAGACTGATAAAGTGAGATGCCATTAATACTTTAATTATATTATATTAAACTGATTTTTTTATATAATTAATAAATATTTTAGTTGTTTCTTTATTTTATAATGTGTATTTGAATGAATTTTTAAATTTCATAATTGACTTTTTTTAATAAGAATATTATATACATATTTATAATGGTTGATATAATGTTAATGCTTCCTATTGAAAAATTAACTTTGATTCAACTTCTATTTCAGTTTTTTTTCTTTCTTTTTATAAAATCACTGAAATACAGCCAAATTTTAATGTAGAATATAAACTCTTTATTCAAAATGCATTATAAAAAATTCAGAACTGTTGTATGAGTCACTTAAATTTTACAAATACATGAGCTGTTCACAGCTCGGCACATGTATTTGTAAAATCTAAGTGACTCTTATAACATTGAATTCATATAAAACAGAATAATCAACAGTGTTATAAGGGGGGTCAACTGTAATTAGGATAATTGAGAATTACCAATATCACTTTTTAATGAAATGTATGTCATTTTATTGAGATTACCTTTCTGATAAATATATTGAAACTTCTTTCTGCAAAATTCTATATTTCTATAAAAAATCTGAAAAAATGAGTTTACTTTATTTAAGCTGGATTTACACTAGCACTGCTAACACCAATTTTGATGGTCCAAAAAGCCAGTTTCAGGTATATACCAGCCTGACAAAACGAATATTCGTTCACACTTAAGCTGACTGCCATTGAATGTTGTTCCATATAGCCAATAAAACTAAGTGTTTTATTGAGGAGCTTAATCCAGTCAGAATAGAAATAACTCTGCATAAAACAAAATTACTTTTTTTTTTCCTTTTTGTAAGTAGTTGGTTGTCATATCTTCAATTATTCTAGTTTTGAGTAGATATACCAAATATTTTTCTATTATATGAAATATTATAAAGATANATAAATTTAAAGTAAAATTTAGAAATTTCTAAGAAATTCAGTGTTTTAAAGATAATACAGAAGTACATGACATTTTTAGTATTAGATTTTAAAAAGCAGAAATTTGAAAAACTATCAAATGGTGTTAACTTTTTTGAGATAGCAATGAAATTACCAGATAGTATATTGAGAGGGAATAATTTAAACAAATAAGAATATTACACTAAATTTGATTTGAACAATTAAACTATTTTAGAATTAAATTAAGTAAGATGAAACATTTATATACACACACAATCATTATACATTACAGTAAGAAGAATAATAATATACTTTAAAGCTTCTTTAATTATCCTGTATATAGTGAATTATAATTATAGTAATAGGTTTTGAATTAGAATAATCACTTCAAAATTATATAAATTTAATGTTTGTTACAGCATTTATAAAAGTGTGATATATAAAAGTATTCACAATTTAACTTTGTAATTATAATCATTGAAATATTTCATTATTAAACACCAAATAAAAATAGCTATTATTACACTAAATAGTTTACATTAGTATATATTTACACATTATAAGGGGACTTAAATAAATTTGATTTATTGTAAATATAATTAAGTAATTTATGTTTATTATTAGAAACTTAAAATTTGTTGATTTATTATTACAATATTTAGGAGCTTTATCTGTGAGATGTCATTTCATGTAAAGAAACTTGGAAAAAGTAAGTGTAAAGCTCAATTATTTTTAAATACAATTATAATTTGTAGTTTCCTTGTGAATATCCTTCTTTAGAAGAATTTATGTATTTCAATATTTTTTCAAATTCAATACAAGATTAAATAATTTGCAAAACTCTGCTTGACATCATGATACACTAAGTGTTAGTGTATTGTGCTTGACATATTTTTTTTAAATTACAAATTATATTCTTCAAAAGCTGAAACTATTCAGAGTAACAACACAACACACCATATTTATGTAATCTATCACACTTTAATTGAAAAAGTAAATGTTTTTGGTTACTTTTAGGAGCTACTTTGGGTTATTAAGTTGTTTGAAAATTGTATGAGATTCTATATATTCCAAAACAAAATGTTCTTGCTTCTATGTGATGTTATTTAAAATTTTAAATACAATAGCGTCCCAGAAACTTGACTTTCAATAACTCGACATTCTGTAAAACTTGTCGTTTCATTCAAATAAATAAATAATAAATGCATGTAATCTAATTTTTACCACTGTAACTTTACACTAGGAACAAATAACACAATGCAACAAATTGCAAGGTCATAACTTTTTTTGAAAATATAGGTATTCTTTATGTATTTCGACCTCCTGAATTTGAAAATTGTACTCAAAACATTGTATCACCCACAGTTTTTGCACAAATCATATACAGTTGTCCCTTGATAGTCCGACGTTTTTTAATCCGACATGCTCAGTAGTCCGACGCACCTCCCGTCAAGGTACCCGTCCTCGTTACGTGTCTGCTTGCACAGAAGCATGTCGCGATGTGAATCTCCCCATCCAATTCTTACTCGATGACACACATTTCGTGTGTTTTATTTGAGCAGTTCTGTTCGAACAGTTGGAGTAGAGAATATTGTAAGTTACTGCTAGCAAAACAATGCGAAATATGTAATTATTTTCGGTAATCCAGACACTTTTGGTAATCTGACACACCTTTGGTCCCATACCCGTCGGATTATCAAGGGACAACTGTATTTTGCATTAATGATAATATACATGAAAACACCACATGAAGCTCAGAAGCGGAACATCGTTTTCAATTGTTCAACACTTACGCTCCTAGTGGCACACAGCAAACTGTCACACTGCAAATGGCACTGCCTGTTTGTCACTGTGTTGTATTTGTGCAAGGAAGTATGTGTTAGTGTACAATGTCTACCCGAGGTTGTGTAAACTCCCTAACTGTTTTTGTTATATTTGTGGTGAACTTGTGGTGAAAAAAGACCGAAGAAACATTACTGCCTTCGTGAAAAAGGTCTTCCATGCCTATTTCGGAATGAAACTAGGCGACATCAATAAAGCATGGGCTCCACATGTTGTGTGTGTTGTATGTATAGAAGTGGATGCTGTAAGTGAGGAACAGGGTGAAAGATTCCATCAGGATATCAAGGACATGGAACAACGATACCAGGGAACTTGGGATGTTCGGATGATGGGCAACTACTGCTGGATGCTTCACTGTGAGCACATAATGGAAATTCCCCATAAGAGGAAAAGCAGGGGCCATGCCATGACAACTAAGAAAGCATGCAATGAATGATATTAGTGCATGTTTTGTACTACATTCTCTGTATGCATCTGTTCACTGTGTATATATTTCAATATGTTGTTGTTTTAAACTTGTATTCTACTTCTGCATGATTCATATGCCATATATATGTACTACTTCTATATGTGATATCATTATTGGCAAAATATGCGATTTGTGCAAAAACTGTGGGTGATACGATGTTTTGAGTATCATTTTTCGAATTCAGGAGGTCAAAATACATAAAGAATGCCTACATTTACGAGAAAAGTTTTTTCACTGTTGTATTGTGTAAGTTATTGTTCTTCATTGGCAACACTTGATAATATCATCAATTCAATGTACTAACAAATAATATAACCCTCTTTCCACTATTTGAGGAGTACGCCACACTTTAATCAAAAGCCTTAAATTATTTTCCATTAAGGTTAATTCAAAAATGTTTTTTCAACTAACATTTTTAATCTGCAGCTGGCGATCTTAGGTCTTGATTTTATATTTGTTGACAGAATGCTTAAATCGAACAATAATGTTTTTTGAAAAATTAAACGAAAGAGATTTTCAAGATATAAAGAATAAAAATAAATATAAAATTATAAAATATACAATTAACTGAGAACTTTTTGTTATATTGCCCCTATGTCATGTTGTTAAGCCATATTTGGTCACATAGTCGTAAAGAAATGCCATGTGTTGGAGTCAGTGTGTGTTGATCTTTTGATGATGGTAGCCTTCTGGAGGAAGACATGCACTTCGTTATCCATTGCATACATGGCTAGAGCAGTGTTTAGTTTCTTTTTGTCAATATCATGTGTGTGCTCAGCTAGTCTTATTTTGAGTGACCTTGTGGTGGAACTGATGTATTCAAGTTTGTAGCCAAATCTGTCATCTTAAAGTACCCTAAGATTATTAGTCTTATCTTTTCCATTCCTAAGGATGTTAAAGATGGTAAGATTGCACCTAAATGTTAATTTTGTTTACTTTTAGGTTTGCTATTTCTTTATACAATGGTAGTATATCGTGGTTATACTCTAGAATGATATGGCTTGTATTTCTATGTTGATTATACAGTAATACCTTGACTTACACTACATCGACTTACGTGAACCCGCAGTTACGTGATTTTCAAATCTCGTCGATTTGTCTTTTGTTTGAGGGCCACGCAACTCTTGATTACTCACTCTCCCCACACTATTGTTCAGCTTACATGTTCAGGCATGTTGCGTGAAATCAACACATAGCTACAATTTATTTCTGTTTGTTATATCTACGGAGACTTGAGAGATTCTATGTGGTGATTTCTTGTAACCGTGAATGAATCAAAAGACAAGATAAGATTAATGAGAACATTTATTAGCTTACATACATCCGACTTGGATTTTACACAAATTGTGAAATTATACCCCGACTTACACGAATTCAACTTACGCGGTTATTGCTCGGTCCCACCTATCGCGTAAGTTCAGGGTATTACTGTATCTATTTTTATCTTTAGGGTCCAAGTTGTGTGTTGTTGGGAATGGTGCTTCTGATTTAACATTCTTAAAGAACATTTTAAATTATGTTTGGTCAAATTTCTGATTAGGTTTTTAAGGTAACCATGTGTTGTGGCTATTTGTTCAACATGTTCAAGTTCCTTGATTGTGTCAGAATAGCTTATATCAGGGGTGTCAAACTGCAATAATATAGTCTAAATTATTTTAAAAATTATTATTGAAAAAATAATTATTTGTTTAATATAAATATAAATAAATATAATAATTTGAAGATTTGAAGTTGTTTTATAATTACAGATATTTATGCTAGAGAACATGGATCTAATAAACAAATGGCTTCCAAATCTTGTGCTCTGTCTTTAGTAAGACAGCTGTATCATTTGCAAGTGATTGAAGCATACTCTGGTGTTGCTAAAAAAAAGGAGACTGATAAAGTGAGATGCCATTAATACTTTAATTATATTATATTAAACTGATTTTTTTATATAATTAATAAATATTTTAGTTGTTTCTTTATTTTATAATGTGTATTTGAATGAATTTTTAAATTTCATAATTGACTTTTTTTAATAAGAATATTATATACATATTTATAATGGTTGATATAATGTTAATGCTTCCTATTGAAAAATTAACTTTGATTCAACTTCTATTTCAGTTTTTTTTCTTTCTTTTTATAAAACCACTGAAATACAGCCAAATTTTAATGTAGAATATAAACTCTTTATTCAAAATGCATTATAAAAAATTCAGAACTGTTGTATGAGTCACTTAAATTTTACAAATACATGAGCTGTTCACAGCTCGGCACATGTATTTGTAAAATCTAAGTGACTCTTATAACATTGAATTCATATAAAACAGAATAATCAACAGTGTTATAAGGGGGGTCAACTGTAATTAGGATAATTGAGAATTACCAATATCACTTTTTAATGAAATGTATGTCATTTTATTGAGATTACCTTTCTGATAAATATATTGAAACTTCTTTCTGCAAAATTCTATATTTCTATAAAAAATCTGAAAAAATGAGTTTACTTTATTTAAGCTGGATTTACACTAGCACTGCTAACACCAATTTTGATGGTCCAAAAAGCCAGTTTCAGGTATATACCAGCCTGACAAAACGAATATTCGTTCACACTTAAGCTGACTGCCATTGAATGTTGTTCCATATAGCCAATAAAACTAAGTGTTTTATTGAGGAGCTTAATCCAGTCAGAATAGAAATAACTCTGCATAAAACAAAATTACTTCTTTTTTTCCTTTTTGTAAGTAGTTGGTTGTCATATCTTCAATTATTCTAGTTTTGAGTAGATATACCAAATATTTTTCTATTATATGAAATATTATAAAGATAGTATATATTTCTTTATTAATCTTTAAGATAACTCTGAACAAATAAAATTAAGTTTCAAAAGTTATTTAAATTGATGAATAATTTAATGCAAAATATTATATAATAGAATACATAAAATTATTTAAAAAGTTAGATGTTAATGTTAAACCTCATAATAGAAATATAATTAATGAGAGAATGTTGCAACAGTATTGTCAGTTGAATGATGATACTGTATTGACCTTTATCCAATTGGCTAAAGGTGGAGTTGCCAGAATCTATGACTGGCAAGAGTCAAACCCATGGCTTGACTCTGGCTGCACTATTGCAGTGACTGGCACTGGTAGTGCTAATTTGAATCCAATCTTAAATGTCGTGATTAATGAAAACATTAGCAAGAAGTGGCAATGACCAAGTTGTCTAGTTTGTTTGTTCTGCATTTCAATGTGCATAAAGTCAGAGTTTTGCAGCTTGTTATGGATGTGTGTTTTTTTCTCCAAGTATATATTGTGTTTCTTCACTTAAATATCTTTATAGATTGTGTAAGTGATTTTAAACTGCATGTAATAGCTGTTTACTGTAATTTTTATTAACTAATTAATTATGCATACTTGTGTGTAACACTAGAAAGTTTGACCGGAGAAGTAGCCTCTTTTGTTTCAAAAATTATCAGCAAAGTAATAACACCCTGTATAACATGTTAAAACGGTCTATTTTGTGTATTAAATTTAATAATAATGTAATTTCAATCATTTTTTTTATTAGCTTGAACCATATGAAGTCACTTTGAATTCTGAATTAGAGCAAGAATTGGATAAAGTATTGGAATCATTAAATATTCAGCCAGTTACAATTCCAGAGGTAATTTATTTGAGAATCTTAAATGAATTAAAGATGAAAATCATATTATTAAAAGTAAACTATATTAGCACCTTGATTTATATGAAACTTTCAATTAATATTTTCATTTTTCTGATATTTTTGTGAAGTTTCATTCAGGACTTTAATATATTAGCATACTTTTATATTATATAGAAATCATTATAGCAGTTCAGATGGCTATAGTAATGCATAGAATTAAACTTTTTACTATAACAGGCACTGTCCTTTTTTTTCTGTGCAAAAATTTCTCTCATGAATTATTGTTTGACCCTAATAGAAACCAATGTATTAAGGTTAGACAAATTTCATTTATTAGTTTTAAAATTATAAAGATATATTCAGAATATTATTAGTTAGAAAATATATGCGATATTTTTAAAATTGTGTAAAAATTTCAGAGACTTTATTCAAAATAGAGTTGAGAAAATTATTAATAAGTAATTGTAAACTATTAATTTTAAAGAGGATATGAAGGCTAATCAAAAAGTATTGCACAGTATTTTATTGTATCAATATTAGAACAGAAAGAGATGCAACACGCTAAACTCTGCAGTCCTTCAATGTAAACCCCTTGTTTGTCAATTTACTTGCCAGCATTTTGGAAAGTCTGCTGTTCCCATCAGCTCTCTATTATTGTTTAGTTCCTGAATGCACTGGATAACAACAACATAATTTGGCTATGTTCAATAAACAAATATGGAATATCCATCAGTACAATACTTTGATATACAGTGGAAGCAGCACAAACTGCAGTGAGTGCAGCACAAATCTCTCTCTGTGTTTTTCCATAATGTTTTGATTTTGATGAATGTCCTCTGATTATCAAATATCATAGTATCTGAACTATCTGCATTGTCCATGTTTATTGCCTTCTCATTTGGAATAATGTCACTACAGTACACAAACACAGATATATTGGTCTTCTCTGTAATCTCAACAAAAACTGGGAATGATTGCATTGACTGAGTGCAAATGATGCTAATTGTGCATTACTTTTTGACTGATTTCTGTATTTCATAAATTATATGTATGTATTATATATTATATAGTTTTAATTAATAGAAGCAGAATGTTGTTATTTGAAGTACTGATTAACAGTTTTTTAAATAAAATTTTGTAATACTCTATTATACATCTGCATTATTCATTTATTTTCTTTGAGGCATTCTCTATGGGAGAATAATGGACATTTTCTGTTGGTTATATTTTGGTAAATTGCTAAATTGATGGTCACTATAAAGTAAGCCCTAAGCACTATAGCATGTGGTATATTTCAAATAAGTTGGTACTTAAGGCAAACAAAAACACATTTCACTTTGTTTTCTGATTAATCTGATTTGAGCCAAACTGAAACTGACTCCTCTAATGTAAAATATTTCCAAATAATTTTGTTTTAAACTTTTGGATAAAGGAAAATTTCTGTAAAATTAAAAACTATTTATTTTAATTCTTATTAGATCCAATGTATGAGTCTGTTATAATGATTTAAATAAATATCATGAATTTAGGTAGATCACAAAATTACTGTCTATGCTATTCTGAAATTGTTCAAAAATCAAATTTTACACACTACATTATGTAAATTATGTATAGAAAAAATATATACAGAAAAATTAAGTGATTTGTGAATAGATCTTTATTAATAGAAAAGACTTTGCCAGTTCATAAAGCACTGAAGACAAAATTCTAGGTTTCTGCCACAAAAAAACTGCTCTGATTAGAAATATGAATAATGAGAAAATCAGTATTCTGTAATGGAAATTAAAAAATAAGACTCTAAAATGAAGTAGCCACCATAGTGACCCTTTTCCATCTGCTGTGACATAAAAAAACTGCTAACATTTCTGCCAGATGGAGAACATAACTTTAAAGTTACTTGTCAATGGTATAGGAAAGCTAGATTTAATAGATTTTCTGCTAAACTGACAACTTTAATGTCATTGGTTTGCTTATCCAGCTCTATTAAAACTGCTTAACTAGGGATTCATGGACTTAATAGTTTCAACACTTGCTGAGTTCTTCTAGTTTGACTTAGACGACATCATTGAGATACATGAAATTTTGTTTGACTTTAGGAATACTGTAGAAAAATACATTATATTACAATATATAGGGTGTTCACTGGGATCATCAATCCAGTTTGGCTTAAGGAGGGATTCAAGAAAGAGAGGATTTGAGATCAGAGGTTTTTCTGTATTTACCAAATTTATTTTAGAACTAATTTATTTATTTATTATTATTATTATTATTATTATTTTTTTGAGATTTAACAATACAGTAGAGCGTCGATTATCCAAAAGTCAATCATCCGAAAGAATTCCAGTTGGCAAATTTAAATTTTCGCCAGTGCTGTGGCGCTTCAATCTTTGGCTATGTCTTGGGCTACTCAAATATTTTACGTTTTTGATACTAAATTAACATCTGAAGTATAATTTTT